AAATATTAAATGCCATTCCGAGTAGCATGATGAAACCTTGCACCATCCTGTTCTGTCCTGCCTGGGACGTGAATTATCCCTTTGTCAAGTGTATCCACACTCTATATGTTCCCCTACTGGTAGTCACTTAGTAGTCATCTTGGTTACCAGATCAACTGACCCTATTGCAGTGCTTGTGTTCAAGTCACCCTTATTTTAATAATGTCACAGAACTTTTCACAGAACTTTTACTACAATATATTGTTGCAGTTTCCCTGCTTTATTATTAGTTACTGCTGTTAAGATCCCCTGCGGATAAGGGGCCTCTATTATACCTAGGTTGGGATGGCTGGGCTGTATTCTCAGTCTGTGGGTAACTACAGGAAACTGCCAAACTGTTTTGCAAAGTTGCTGTTCCATTTTACATTCCCACAAGCAGTGTGTGAGAGAGCCTGTTGCTCCACATACTCTCTAACACTTTAAAATTTAAAAAATTCTAGTAGTTCTAGTGGCTGTATGGTGGTAGACCATTGATTTTTTTTTTTTTTTAATTAAATTTTTTTTTTAGAACAACTAAACCCAGTTTTGCTTGGGTTTTCTCCTTTTAGCCTAAGTAAAACCTGTAGGCCAATTACAAAAGCAATAAAAAATGGAGGGAGGATTTTGGCTGCTTTTTCTTTTCTTTTTAAAAAATTTTTATTTTTAATTATAGTTTGCAATTCAACATTATTTTGTATTCGTTTTAGGTGTACAGCATGGTGGTTAGACAATCATATACTTTACAAAGTGTTTCCCCTGATATTTCCAGTACCTCCCTGGCACCGTACATAGTTATTACAATATTATTGACGATAGTCCCTATGCTGTACTTTATTTCCCATGCCAATTTTGTAAGTACCAATCTGTGCTTAATCCCTTTACCTCTTTAACCCAGTCCCCCAGTGCCCCTCCCGTCTGGCAACTACCAGTCTGTTCTCTGTGTCTATGAGTCTGTTTCAGTTTTATTTGTTAGTTTATTTTGTTCTTTAGATTCCACATATAAGCGAAATCATATGGTATTTTTCTTTCTCTCACTGACTTATTTCACTTAGCATAATGCCCTTTAGGTCAATCCATGCTGTCGCAAATGGTAAGATTTCATTCTTTTTTATGGCCAAGTAATACTCTGCCACTAATGATGTTGAGCATCTTTTATTTTAGAAGGTTATGCTTTTAGTAGTCTGTTGTATTTTCTAGATATGAGTAACTTTATCTGGCATTCGAAGTGAAAATTTCTTTAAAAAATAGGCCAAAGTTTGAACAGTCACTTCCTCCAGTTACATACTATACAAAAGAAGGTTCAGGTGTGGAACTCGCTGTTAAATTTGGACAAGGGGTGATCCACTGGGTGACTAATAAGGAGACCTGGAGAGAGTGCGTGTAGGACTTGAACATGAAGCTTGGCCAAAAGCATATTTCATGGCTCCATTCGCCTTGGGAGGCCCTGCTCCATGCTTAGGTAAACTAGCTGTTTGTGGGAAGCAGGCCTAGATTTAATTACATTTCCCGGGATGCCCCAGGAGTCACCTGGGAAGCTCAGCAGTCCTCTGTGGCCATCACAAGTGTGTGGTGGAAGCCTGCTGAACACAGGGCTTCCCCTCGGGGGACAATTTGCCTGAATTAGTTAATCAAGCTTGAGAAATTGGTTACCACAGGCCCAGAAATGCCACCTCCCTTATATTCTGAAACCCTATTTCTCATGACCATCTCTTAATTAATTAATTAAGCAAACAGTCCCTGAGCATTTACTACATGCCAGGTACTATTTTTCATACTAGGGACAGGAATGGCCCCTGCCCAGACTCAGAATGTGGGAGACATGCAGCAGGGAAAACAGGCTGCTCACGAAGCACCGAGGAGGGGCTCCAATCTAGGTGTCAGTGTGGGGGAGGTGATAAGGACAGGATCCTGCCCAAGTGACACTAAATGGAGACCTAAGGTTGAGGAAGAGTTACCCAGGCTGACAAGACAAGGGACAGGCCAGGAAGTCCCAGGGACAGGAGAGAGAGTGGCCCATTCAGAGCCCGTAAGTTTTCTGGGGCATCAGGAGGTGGGGAGTGTGGAGAGAGGAGACACTGGAGTCCAGGGGCACCAGGTAAACTACAGTGAGGATTGAACTGGATCCTCAGGGTAGGGGCAGGGAGCCCAGGGAAGTGGCTGATGGGGTATGAGAGTGGCCTGTTGACTGGCAGTGATTGTGAAGTGGGATCCTTTCCAGCCAGTAACTGGAAATGTGCAGAAGGGCAGGAGTGAGTGTACTACCAGCTTTGAAACATTGAGAAATCTAGTACATAGTACTACCTTCTGTATAGTTTTTGGTTTGTTTGTTCACTCGATTTTTTTGGAAAACTGATGTAGAAATGTCCCTTTGGCTTCAGTTACCTGAGCAGAGGGATCTGGGCTTTGCCAAGTCCACTTCTTTGGATGGAATTGCTCCTCCCAATGATTACTGCGTTTTGAGGTGGGAGGAGGGAATTATGTAGGCGGCCAGGGCCATGCCAAGGTGGGAATTGGGGCAAGAAGCCTGCCTGTTTGCACCCAGCAAAGCCAGAGCAGAACCTTTTATCTCCGCTCTGGGCTACTTCTTGCTAAGCTTCTCCACGTGTCCCTTGGAGGTTCCCTTGGGTCAGAACTTGTATCTGGAGACACAGAAACTCCCATTTTAGGAAAAGACTCTCCCCCAAATCGCCTCCTGCCCTTTCTCTTCTCATGAACCTTCTATAGAGGGGTATGTCTTCCCTTCTGAGATTTTCCTCTCAGGTACAGGGGAGGCAAATTCTGTGCTCCAGCACTAGGCTACTCATATTTTGGCGTTTCTACTCTGCCCTTCCTACCTTTCCAGACACCCACGATGGGTTTGCTAGAAATAATGGACTAGAAAAGAATGTTTGGACAGCATATAACCATTTCTGCACTAGAGGGTACCAATAGAACAGAGAAAGATAAGTTAGGAGAAAGGAACTTATTTCTTTGGCACATATAATGTGCTGTGTACTGTATTGTGAACTTACTTATATTATCTCACTTAATCCTTAGAACATTGTGCAAGGTAGGTATTATCATCGCCATCTTATGAGGAAATAGATGGGCAGGGAGTGTAAAGGCTTGGGCAAGGGTATATAGGCGGAAAGCTGGGGCTAGTTCAAGTCTGGGCTCTTTGTGCTAGGTTAAACTTTCCCCTTTTTAATTACAAACTTGTGTTCTCACCTCCTCATTGTTGCCTTGGAAATCTGAAATGATTTTCACGTAGCTTCTGAATCAACTAAGCGATTACTGGAGAGTAGTAACTTTTGCATGAGAAAAACCTAGCTAATTATTTATTTCACTGTTTCTGGAATGCAAGTCCTGTCCTAGGCTATTTAGGAAACAGCTCAGTTATCTNGCTTCGGGATTACAGGCACAGTGGCATTCTGGCTGTCTGTGCTCAGTTATCTTTAAACAACTTGCAGACTAACTCAGTGCTGGTTTAACTCTTCCTCTTTTTGGACTGAGAACCTTTGGGGGGTGTGTGTGTCTGTGTCTTTCTTGCAGTTTGCCGAGTAAATGATAAATCTCCTAATTCTCGAATATTTCAGAGAATTCCTGATTTGTTGGACTGTCAAGGAATGAATTTGAATAATAAGGAATGAATGGGTCATTCCTTCTACACAGATACTCCATATCCCCTCCCCCCCTCTTTTCTTCTCTAGAATTTTTTAATCCGAGTCTTTGTGGAGTGGGGGACAAAAGGGTACAATCCTACTAGAGTTGACCTTTGCGTTGAGATCTGATTTGGACTCATGGACTTGTAGTCTACTGCTTTGTTTTGTATCCACAAGTGGTCACTACATTCTTAGCTCTTTCTGCTCCCTGTCCCTCACGCCTCATATCCCACTCCCACCTCTGCTCCCCCCCAGACCACCAGTGACTAACAGCCGTTTAAGAAGTAAAGCTGGTTTCTGCTGAGCATTCATGGCTGCGGAGTTGCCAGCGGGGCCTAACTTTATCCTGTGTCTCCCTCCCTTCTTCTTCCACTTTTCGGTTTTCTGCCCTTCCCACTGTAGTATGACTATTTGGGAGTATTCCAGCATTCAGTGAGCACAGTTGTGTGGGCAGTGGGGACATGTAGAAGCATTGTATTTCCTGTTTACGAGAGCCTCCACTTCTCGTAGCATGGCGAAACAGTCCTCCAAGGAGGCACCTGTGACACCTGACAAGGAGCAGCTGGCCCTTTGTGCAGGTGCGGATGGAGCAGGGCCAGGGGTGCAGATGTCTGGACAGTGGGAGCTTGTCCGTTGCACAGGCGCTGTTCCCCGCCTGCCTTAGCTGACTTGTTTCTCCACGGGATGCTGTTTTCTTTCCACAGACACACAGCTCTGGGGTTGTCCTCACCACCTGGGAGCCAGGTGTCGGTAGCATTTCCTCGGTGCTTATTCACAGTCATCTAAGACACGCTGTGGCTTTCCAGGTTGGGAAACTGCTTTGTCAGTGGTGCCATTTATCATTTGAACGACTCCACTCTGTGGCCAGATGAAAATGTGGTCTGCAGAGAATTTCAGGGAATAGCATAAATTACTCCAGGTTCAAGGCACATTTTATGAACGCTGCTGACATTTTATGTGAGGGGAGGCCATTTCCTTAAGAGAATGGAGATTCCAATTTGCCACCTCCAACCTCACTGTTTTGACTGCTTCAGATTGCTCACTTAAATCTGTTTTCGTAAGTGTAGTTTTCATCCCCAAATGGTCACACTAGTGGAGCTAAAATGATTAGGATGGCAACAACTAGCTCCCAGGCTGCTGCCAGGAAACCTCCAGAATCCCCACTCACTGGAGAACCCTGAGGTCAGAAGTCAGCAACTCCTGGCCTCTTGGGAAGTGGTCATGACGTAGACCCGGGATTGAGGTCTCAGGTGAGGGGGCTGGAGCAACAGCCCTCATTGGCGAATGTCTGGCTTTGCAGCAATAACTGACAGCTCTCTCCCTTCCTGCTTTATCTTTCAGTTAATGACCAGCCACAGCGTCCCTGCTGTGAGCTCCGGCCACTGCCTCCACGGGCGCCCAGCCACGCTCAGGTTGCCGTGGTGCCAGCCGAGGTAACATGGCTTGCTGGCCTCAGTTGAGGTTGCTGCTGTGGAAGAACCTCACTTTCAGAAGAAGACAAACAGTAAGCTTGGGTTTCTTTGCGGGGGAAGGGGGGCTTCTCCCACGCTTGACTTCGTGAATCTGAGCTGAGCATTGGAGGCAGGAGGAAAGGAAGTCTTGGTTTGCTCAAAGCAATTGAATGAATGCGGCCCAGGCAGCTCTATCACTTATTATCATGGGCAGATTTGCCACCAGGCAGAAATGTTTGCTTTGGTTTGTGCTAGTGCCCAGGCCTGAGTTTTGATCTCTGGAATATGGCAGCCTCGGGGGCCACCTGGCTCTCCAAGAGCACCTAAGGGGGCCCTGTACTGCTGGGCAGTGGGAATGAAGTGAGCTAATGGCCCAGCTTTTAGAGAGACTGAATCCTTTAGTGTTTGTGTGGACTCTCTCAGCTTTGACTGCAAGCCTGGAGGAAAATAAAACAGACACTTGTTTTATTTCTGTGGAGGGTTCTAAGCCATTCACTGCCTGGATGGGACAGTAATTCTTTGAGTGATCCTGAGCAGACCATCTCTAATGCGTGGGTGAATGGTGTTTTTCCACAGAGGAAGGTGAAGGCTGTAAGGCATGGTGAAACCTTGAAGCTCAGTGCCAGCTCTTTGCTTCTCTATCTCTGAACGCTCTTACAAATCCCATCTAGTCTCTTGGATTTAGCTGTACCTCTTTGTAGTTGGCTTCTGAATCTGTTTCCTGCCCTGCCTTTTCCCCTGAATTCTGAGCCTGCATCTCACTTGGCTGACTTAACGAAGCTTAACATGTCTGTAACCAAAATGATCATCTTTCTTAAACTCAAAGAGTTATGAGGGACCTTGGAGATAATTCAGTGTAGTGTTTCTCAAACTAGAATAATGCTTGGACCTTTTTTTAAAAAAACAAAAATGCTAAGGTCCCTTTGTGTTCATTAAATTTTTTTTTATTATAATGTTACTTAAATATGTGCATATGTCAAACTGGATTCAAACCCTTTATTGTATATGCTATTATACAACCATGTGATCACTTACAAACTAAATGCAAACGAAGTCGCAAAACCAATACAGTTCAGACGAATGCAGTGAGACAGCTGACATTGTTTAGCTGAAACCAGATCACAATGAGTGAGGTGAGGATGGTGGTGAATGCTGTAGTGCCGTCCTTGTGAGTTTGGACAGCCTATGTTCTAAGGATTCAGTTCTCCAGCCACCTTTCCCATGACCTTCATTTGATATCATTTGGCTTTCATTTGGTCCAATCTCATCATTCCTAAATCACGTCTGCATCTGTTCCTTTCTCATTAGTCTGCTACAGTTATGTTGGTGCCAACACAATCAAACACAAACATAAACTTAGGCTTTGAAATCTTGTGCCAGAACTTGGTTATAAAGTAGGCATTTGGAAAATCCAGATATGTTTATTCTAGTTTGTTTAGATGACCGTAGAAAGGAAAACACGAAATGGTTAAAATTATCACAGGGGACTCATATGTAATCCATCAAGAGTAACGCCCCCGCCCTCACACACATGCACACACACAGATTCTAGTTTGAGAAACAGTGATTTTGTTTGGCCCTTCATGTTACTAGTGGGGACCTGAATCCCAAGATCACTCATGAGAGAGCGGGAACTAGAATCTATGTATCTAACGTATCCTGCCTGTCTTAGTGATGATGGTAATAGTAACGGTAAAATATAAAACCTAATATTATATAAGGAAAGCAAACACTTAGAATGGGCTTCCACGTGCTAGGCACTCAATAGTTTGTTATTAACTGGACTAATCTTTTTGTGACTCTGTGAAGCACTGTTGTTTTCTTTTATGGCCGGGGAACTTGAGAGGTCCCCAGAAGCGCATGTTGGGTTCAAATCCAGATCACCCGACTCTAGAGTTGGTACTTTAAACCACTATGGCAACTTGCTTTTCAGTGGTGGTATTTTATTATTATTTTTTTCAATCCTCTGCCTCAAGATCTTGAAGTTTCTGACTTTTTAGCCTTTCTCCCTCCTTCCATGGCTTTTCCCAGGTTCTGGTGTTCCCAAGTCCAAATTCATGTCTCATCTTCATTTCTTAGCTGCCATGTGGTCTGGGTCTCCTGCCTCCTCTCAGCCTGGTGATAGCAGCCCCTGCCATAGGAAACCGTTTCTGCTGCGGTGTGGCCATTAGCCAGGGAGTAGTGAAAGAATCCTATCGTCTTAGCAGCGAAAGGAGGTCTTAAGGGTAGTACAGGCCAAGCCCCTCATTTCACAGGTAGCAATACCGACGCACCAAGCAGGGAAGGAGTTTCCCCGTGGTCCACCAAGGAATCAGAGTCCTGTAGCAGGATGTGGGGGGTTGGGCCATCCCTACTGGGCTAGTCTCCACTGGTCCTGAGTGGGTAGCTTCTTGCTCAGTGTAGCTCGTGGGTTTAAAAAGAGTTAAGATTGGAGAGATAGGCAGGCTTAGTTGAAGGCAATCTGTAGTCTTGTGGCAGAGTTCCTGTTGGAGGAGGTGGTAGGGACACAACATCCTGACCCAAAAGGGCTTTTCTAGATGAAATATCACTGCCTGCTAGCTTGTCCTGGTTGCCTCCCTTCCTGATTTCTAAAGGAAATAGATTTTGCTGAACTAGAAAGGAGGGCCGTTTGTTTCAGGTCACAGGTATTTAGAGTGTCAGAGTTGGAAAGATCTGGCCTGGCCCCCTGTGCAGTCAACAGAACTGGGCTTTGGGTAGGGGAGTGGGGTCCAGAGTAGGTCTTCCATGGGAGTAACACCAGAACCAATTTCCTGGTGTCATTGCAGGCCCAGCCCTTCTCAGCAGCTTCACTTTATCTGCACTCAAGGTCTAATGTCGCTGCATCTTAAGTTCTGACTGGTAGCTACTTCCCAGTGCACCTGGGCTTGGATTTCTAGGTATATTGTTGAACGTTGCAGCCTGCGAAGGGTCTTGGTGCCACTTTGTTAGCTCACATAGTCAGAACCAGTCCAGCCCATTAGGCGGGGAAGAAGGTAGCAGCTCTCCGGTAGCTCCTGCCCACAATGAACAGAACATCATTGCTCGTTTCCCTTCTTCTGTGATCCTGGAGTGTACACATGTGGCCCCAGAACCTGGCATCTGGGATATGCTTAATATGTATTTGCTGAATGAGTGGTAAATGTGTTAAATGGGTCATTAGTTTTTAGGTCTCAAGGAGGCTCCCCTGCTCTAGGGGCCTTGTGTACCACTGCCAGGAAGAACAGAAATAATATGTGCAAGCTGGGACCTACCAGTACTCCCCAGAGCAACCCTGTTGAGAGGTGGCTGTTTGCTCTTTCGCTCTGTGTCCTTGTTTGCTGATGAATTCTGGGGACCTCTCTCTGGTACTCCCATTGTGCAGAGCGTGGGGACCATCAGCCAGGATTAGCTTTCTGCTGTTCTTGGTCAAAGAATACATTGAAGTTGAGTTTCGAAAGTCGAGTGCAAAGCTCAGTTTGGGTCCAAAGTAACGGTTAACCCGTGTGGGTGGCAGTCATTCAGCACAAACAGGGCTTGGGTGGCCAGGAAGGGCGAGGCCTGCAGTTTTCATGATATGCATCTGGTTTTAGGCTGAGCCAGAGGCCACGGTCCCCGTGGAACAGGTGGACAGCTATGTTGCCTTTTTTTTTTTTGCCTTTGCTATTAACTGTTTTCTCAATTAGATCTGACTGGCTATGTGGCTGGGAAAATAGATAATTCTAGTTTTTGCATAAATTAGAGTATCAGTATCTGGCCATTGTTTAGTGACAGGAATAGCTATCCAATAAAAAGTGATGCTCTTTATTTAAGAGCCATTATAGAATTTTGCAGAATAGATGAAAATTTCCGTATCTCCTCCCCATTTCCATTTTCACCTGACAGTTCTTTCCTGTCCTTAGTCCTAGCCTGGCAGTGATGGTTCAAATCCAGATACTAATTCTAATTATTATGTAATTCTAATTCAATGCCAGCTTCAAGTTGGCCACCATATGCCATCGGGTTTAGGGAAACTCATTTCTCCTAGGTTTTAGTTTCCCCTTCTGTGGAAGAACATCAGACCAAATAGCCATTTAAAGTTTCATTTGGGTAAATATTTATCGAGCATCTACTACATGTGGGACAGTGAGCTGAGTACGTAGTGGTGAACCAGACAGACATGATTCCTGCCCTTGTAGAGCTTACGGTGTAGTGAGAGAAGCAGATAGGAAACACATTATCACATAAGTAAAAATATAATAACACATTGTGATAGGTGTCATGAAGAAAGAAACAACCCAGACAAACTGTGGTACTGCGTTGAGTACCACCAGGCTGTAGACAGGGACTTAATTTAGAATGCGTGGTCATGACATTTAAGCTGAGAACCCTGAAGTTCCAGCAGCAGTTGGCCAGGGGAACATCAGGAGCCCAGAGATCAAGGGCGCTGTATTCCGGGCAGAGACGCAGAGAGTGTGAAGGCCACGGGGCCTAACGCATGTTCCCGTGTCAAGGAACAGAAAAGCCAGTGGTGCTGGTGGCGCAGATGAAGACTGGCTGGGCTGAGCTGGGAATCGGGCAGGGCCAGGTCTGCTGGGCTTTGCCGTTGGGGAAGGGCAGTTGAATTTTATTTCATGTGCAAAAGGAGTCCCTGAGGGTCAGAGTGTGTGTGGTCCTTGGCACTAGGGGGCCTTGGGTGACCATAGCCCAAGGAGACATTACATACATGTGTTCCATTTTATGCTGTTTCCTTCTTTCATTGAACATTAGTGTGTCTGTTTCCATATTTCTAAATGATCTTCCTGTTTATAATAATGATTCTTGATACATAGGCTGTGCTTTGTAGTTTTGAAAGAACTTTTATATCCATTATCTTGATTTTCACAGCAATCCTAAGAGGTGTGCATTGCAGTTCCTGCTTCCCAGCGAAGAAAGTATTATAGGGTAGTGGGGTAGTCAGAGGTTAGAGGAACCACGGAATCTTTGAGTCCCAAATTTACCGTGGGCTGATTCCATTGACATTTCTGGGAGCTTTAGAGTAATCCGTCAACACGGTTTTTGTTTTATAAGTTTATTCTCTATTGCCAGCAGTTAGATTGTTTCCAGTGCTGGCTGTTATAAATAAGATGTTATACACCTTTTCTACTTCTGTATTATTTCCTTAAGCCAGAATTTCAGGAGTAAGGTTATTAGGTCAAAGGGAAATGGCCCTTGAAGTCTATGATTAGATATCCTTTCAAAAGACTGAACCAATTTAAAAAGCCATCATCAATGTATGAGGCTACATAGTTGTGGGAGGGCAGGTCTGTTCTTTTTAAAAAATTGTTTTTCCCTCTAACACGTCTCTGATTTGATCTTAAAGATTTCACTTTAATTTGCGCAGATGCAGTTGAGGTGTATGGTATCAGGGATGGGTCTAAAAATAATTTTTCTTTACAATCATATCATGTCATTCCAGCAGCTTTTATTAAACAGACTCCTTTTCTAGTTATTTTTGGGACATTTATCAAACTCTTACGTCTGTAGGGAGCTATTGGGGGTTATTTATTTGGTCATTTGCTATGTCTTTTTCATTTTGATGCTGATACAGGACAGAGTGTGCTGTTGCTTTGAACATTCTGAGATCTGGGGCATCTCATTGTCCCGCTCACCCCTTTTTGCCTCTCAAAATAGTCTTTGATAGTTTCATCTCTTTCTTTTTCCTCGAATCTTACTACCTTATCAAGTTCTGAAACGTATCCTATCACTATCTGAACGCCCCAGGGACATTTGGTGATGTTTGGAGACATTTTTTGGTTGGCACTGTCCTGGGTGGGGGTGGTCGGTGTGGCTGGTATCTAGTGGGTAGAGTACAGGGATGCAGTAAACATCCTGCAGTTCACAAGAGAGTCCCCTCAACAGTTGCCTGGCCCTCAGTGTCAATAGTGCTGCTGTTGAGAAACCCTGCTTGCGAGGTGCTCGCTCGGATTATCCCACGTTAGAGCTGAGGAGTAATGAGACAGAGGTGCAGAGGGATGCTTTGGTGCTCCCCAGAGCAGCTCAGTGTAGCAACTCACTGAAACATCAGAATGACTGTTTAAAACCCAACACTGAAAGGAGGCTCCTGAGTTTCTGACTTTGGTAAGAAACACCTTTTGAAAATAGTGTTCCTCTCCTGGGGGAGAGATGTGGAGGTGGGTGGGTAGGTACCAAAACAAGATTTGGAAGAGTTTTCTATAGGGGTTTGTAACAGTAAAGCATCAGTTTTATTCCCAAGCTAGTTATGAGGGACTATGTGAAGGAAAGGTGCTAAGTTTAGTGATGGAGGAGAAATCTTACCTGGGCAATGAGTGGAGCCAGAATGGCCTGCCTGCCAGTAGTCAGGTTAGGTTTCTAGAGGGAGGCTATTAGGAAAAGAAATGCCTGGAACATCCCTCTGAGTTTGTAAGGCGAATTTTGAGTTCAGTGACAAATAATTTTAGAGGGGCATGGACTAAATATTGTCTCATGAGTTTTCTGGTTTGGATGGTTAGTGACTCAAGTTAGCAAGGGCTTTGAAAGATCAGTAATTTAGATACTATGGTAATAGGGCAGGGGGCGTAAGGAGGTTGGCTAAGAGCAGGGACCCTTGAGTCAGACTGGGTTTATTATTATTTTCTGAATTCATTTCCAGTTATGCCATTTTTAGCAAGTTTTATTCCTGTCTGTTAATATTTGTGGTTTTATTTAGCTGTAAACTTGGAGTGGATACAATTTTGTGTTCTTTTTTCACTTGACATTACATGGTTAATAGTGCCTGTGTTTCATACGCATTGTTGTAACGATTGCATACTACATTGTGGAGTAGACATACCATAATTTAATCATTTCCATATTGCTGTGCAATTGTTTCCAGTATTTTTCAATTATAGTGTTTCAAAGAACAAATAATTTCATGTATGTAGCTTTTTGATATTTTGAATTTAGCCCTATACAATGTAGTCCTTGTGATATGACTTAGTCAAAGGGGATAAACATGTCTTTTGATACATTTCGCCAAATTGCTTTCCTAAAGGGCTCAACTGATTTGTATTATCTTCATTATTTTATAAACTTCAGTTCATTCTCTTACTCAACAAACATTTTTGAAGCCCTCATTATGAGGTAGGCTTAGTGAGAAGAAAGGGACACTAGGGGAGAAGCTCCCATAAAAATAGGGTCCCTGCTGTGCCAAGTGCTGATGAAGGCAGGGAGCACCTGGGGGTCCTCCCACCCCAGGAGGGACTTCCACTCGGCTGGTAGGAGAGGCCCAGTGTCACTGGAAAGCTTGATTTCAGTGTGTTTTGCCTCTTTGGGAATATTTATAGAAATACTTAGCAAGATCAGCCCCATCTTTGGTCTTGGAGACCCTGTTAACGACATACCTTCTTTCAAAGAGGGATCCATTTGTCTTTTATGTTTTCTGGTGTGCTGTCTGTAGCGAACTGTTCTTCATAGTTATATGCTAACAGTGGTTTTTTTGTTGTTGTTCGACTTAATGGGAAATTTAGGAAACACAGGAAGGTATTTAAAAAATTGCCCATTTTCTCATCACCTCAGGACATCCACTGCTATTTTCCTTATATTGCCTTCCAAATAGAAGATTTTTAAAAAGAGGTTAATGTGGAACCATATCAAAGGCGTTTGCAAATTAAAAATGAGCTGTTTAAAATTCCAGAAATCTGACAACAAATAATAAAAGGAAGCCCCAGAACAATCTGAAGCGCCAGCAGTAGCAGAAAGGTTAACTTAATTGTGATCCATTCACAGTGTGGAATATTAAGTGGTCATTAAAGTCCCTATTTTAAGAAAATATTGTATATCATGGAAAACTCTCCCAGTATGATAAATAAAAAAGCAAAATACAAAACTATATATGATGCATAAATCTCAATTTGGTAGAGAAAAAATATTTTTTATGTAGACATAGCAAAAAAGGCAAACAGTTTTAACAGAACCATTGTTAGCTCAATTTACTAGCAATTTTCTCTGTGAAGTAAGATCAGGGATGACTTATATCTACTTTTTTAATCTTTTAATTTCAATTTGTCTACCAAAAAAAAAAAAATGTGGACTTGAGGATCAAGAAAACAATCCTGTTAAAAGAGAAGGGGGGATTTCATACCAGTGTTCTCTTGGCTTCATGGCCCTGAAGCCACAGTTGTAATGACTCTTAACCACAAGGCCCCATGACTCTTTTCGGCTCTTTGGTGTTCATCTTAATTAGAACATCGCAGTCTAGGAATGAGAGGAAGAGTTGAGAGACTTCAGGCAGTGTGACTACAGACGGTCCCCGACTCACGATGGTTTGACTTAAGTTTTTCAACTTTACAGTGGTGCACGGTAGTGAAAGCAATACCCATTCAGTAGAAACTGTGCTTTGAATTTTGATTTTTTTTCTGGGCTAGCGATATGCAGTATGGTCTCTCTTGTGAGGCCGTGGGAGCAGCAGTGGACCGCAGCTCCCGGATGGGCACGCGAGCACGAGGGTCACCAACTCATGCTCTATGGTGTATTTGCTGTGTGAGACGATTTTGCCCAACTGTAGGCTAATGTAAGTGTTCTGAGCACATTCAAGGCAGGCTGGGCCAAGCTGTGGTGTTCAGTAGGGTAGGTGTATTAAATGCATTTTAGACTTACAGTATTTTCAACTTACGATGGATTTACCAGGACATAACCCCATTTAAGTCGATGAGCATCTGTAGTTGTCTGAGCACCACTGGTTCAGTTAATTACTGATGATTTCTGTGCTGCCCCTGGGCTTATTTATCTCTTGGTAACTCACTGAGGCAGGGTTTTCCTCATTGCTGTAACCAGTGGATCGTGCTTACTTGTACAGTTAATGGCCTTCTTACCCTCTGGAGAAGATGGTGACCAGACCTTACTGGGTGGTGGTCTCTTTCCAGCCCTGGGGGCGTGGAGGTCCATGTGGAACTGCGTGAATCTCCACTGTTCTTTGGAGCTCTCTTTTCAGCCCCGTGGGGGGAGGGGGAAGGGCAGGGCATTTTGTGTGCATTTAAAGAGCAGAGGTGGTGGGCATTTAGCACAGCAGGACCCAGTTGCCCTTGCCCCCCTCTTTCAACAGATGGTCGTTTCGCACCTGAAACTGTGTGGATGCTGGGGATGCAGACATGGCGGGGACCCAGGGCTTGCCTTCTGGATGGTTATATTCCCGTGAGGAAGCCAGTGATAGAAAGAGATGATTTTGGGGGCTCGGTTACTGTGGGAGCCCAGGAGAAGGAAATTATGCCTGGTTGAGTCTTGAAGAATGAGAGACATGAGCCAGATGAAGCAGGAGAGGAAGCATCTTCCCTTTCTTAAGGAAAACACAGAGATGTGAACAGTATGTTACATGGTGGGAACTGCAAGCAGTCGAGTGTTACGAAAGCTGAGTGTTACTGAGTGGTGGGAGAGGCTGGAGAATTTGATCAGTTGTTTGATTAACTTCTCTGTGGATTTCCCGAAGCCCAGCAGCATCAGGCAAACATATAACTGTCTAAACTCACAGCGCTCTGTCTTATTTCCCGCTCAGTGTCAGTTGTTGCTGGAAGTGGCCTGGCCTCTGTTTATCTTCCTGATCCTGATCTCCGTGCGGCTGAGCTACCCACCCTATGAACAACATGAATGTGAGTATCTGAGCGTCCTGTCTGAGGCTCACCACGGGCAAGAGGAATCTGGGCAATGGGCATGGGCTAAATTCTACCTTTTCCCAGACGCTCTCTTTAGGAAACACCATAAATGGGTTGGAACAGAAACGCTAGGCCCTTGATTTTTTGATAAGGCACAAACTCAGGAAACTATTTTCAGTCCTACTGAACAATGAGAGTAGTAACTATAATAATAGCCAAAGTCTGTGTCATACGTTCTAAGTAATGAAAGTAAATAACCTTACTGGTAGTTCAGAAAGTGGTGATTAACAAAGCTCCTGAGGCAGTCCCTTAACACCACCGTCAGCTGGTCCCCGCCAGTCTTTTTCATATACATTATGTCTTTATCACACAGGTGCAAATTGTGGAACACATAATATTTAGTAGCATTTGCACAGAGCTTCTCAGATGGACTGATATTATTTGATTCTCATAACAATCTTGTATAATAGGCTTGATATTATCGTTTGATTTGATAAGTACATTGGGGCTCAGAGAAGGACTTGCCCAGGGTCACACCTTTAATAAGTGACTGAGATGAAGTAAAAGCTCAGGTCATTTGACTCCCAAATCCTGTGTTTTGAAGTAGCCTTTACAGGGAGTATGGAAAATACAGTAGTGGCCAAGGACACAAGGCTCAAGATGTCAGGTTACTTGGGTTTGAACCCAGGCTTCAGCAGTTACTAGGTATATCACGTTGAGCAAGTGACTTAGCTTCTTGGTACCTGAGTTTCCTCATCGCTGTAATAATACCTGTAATATAAGGTTGTAGTTATTCCACGATCACGTCTTTCTCTCCTGGCTGGCCTCTCTGGATGGAGTGACACTACAGAAATGTCCCAGTCTGAAATGATCAACATTCATAGAAGGGGTTTAGCTGGAACCTCTGTTCCATTGCCCCTGTAACTTTTCCTACCACTCACCAGCTCTCCCCACACCCTGCCAGCCTCATGCACTTCCAGGATGAACAGGATACTACTGCTTTTCAGGAAAGGGATGGCTCCAGGATCACCTTTGAATTGTGTTCTTGGTCTGGTCCACAGCACATGAAGGCGGTTACCTACCTGCTAATTTGCTAGAACATATTATATACACTCAAATTTTTAAAACCCCCACAAAACCAGAGGAACCTTCTACCAAATGTGATTTTTTCAGATTTCACCAGAAATGAAAAGAATATAAAATGAAATACACACTCAATTTGTGGGCCTGGGAGGTAATTCTGCCTTCTCTTTTGGAACTCCCAAGATTGATGAGCAACCACATATTTGATTTTATTTAAGATCACCCTAAGCCCCACTGATGTGCATGTTTTAAGGAACACTCAGTTTTTTTCATGTGCTCGGCTGTTCTCTCTCTGGAATGATCACAAGTAGGCAAGATGGTGTAGTAGAAACATGCAGACTTTGGATCAGACAAATTGGGGTTTGTTTGTGTCCTGTCTCTGACACTTGTCGAGGTGGTGATGTTGAACACGTGGAGTTTTAACCCAGGGTCGTCTGAGTCTAGACCATAGATTCTCAGAAATGTTGTGGAATTTTTATGTCTATAAAAGGCAGATATAACTTTTGCCTTCCACCTATGCACTTCTTGCAACCTCGCCTCCTGTTCTCGGGACCTAGCCGGAAGGTAGATTGCTAAGGCGAATCATGTCTCTGGAAACAAAGGGTTGGTGTATAATTCTGCCCCATAAGTCTCTCCCAGTTTCACCCAGAGCCATCAAGGCCCTCATTACTTTCCTGGGTCCTGGGAGTCCGTTATGCTATTAGATTGTCATCCTGTGCACCCGTGCCAAGTCCCCTTCCTGCTTTAGCTTGCAAAGAAGGTGGGACACACACACAGGGAAGCGTCTTTGCTTCACTCATCAAGGTATAGCCTGAAATATCTTCACCTTCTACTGCCCTGTGCTGCCTGGACTGATACCACCCTGTGCTTGGCACCAGAGTCTCTGGGAGGTTAAAGGGGAGACTCTCGTGGTCCTTCGAGTGCTTGGTTGGGTTACATAAATCTCCCCTGCATGAGGAGCAGCTGACTCAGGCGAGGGACCTTGTTTGGTTTTCCTTGAACTATTAACGGGGAGATAAGGAGGTTAACTGAGTAAATGTTGAACAGGCCAGAGTCCCTGCGGAGTGGCCACAGGCATCAGATCTTGTTGCCTCCTTGCTGTGGATGTCGCCTCCCCTGTTGGAATATGGAAAGAAGAAAAAGGCAGATGGAAGTGCCCCAGTACTGGAAGGCCGTGTTGCCAGTCCTGGCTTATCTGGGTTAGCTCCTGGGGAGACTCTATTAGCACCTTTGCATGAAAATAGTAAGCTGAATAGAACAGGGTTCCTGCTTTGGAGGAAGGTTGTGGCTGTGAGATTTGGAGGATTCCTAGCAGGACACCAGCAGAGTAAGGCCTATCTTAGGCTCACGCCGCAGGGCCTCAGTAATCCTAACAGTCCATTCCTCCAGCCTTCACACTGTGCCACGCACCCTGCTACATGCTGTGCCTGTAAGAATTCATGGAATACCTACTGCAGCTCTCCGAAGTAGATTGTTTTGTTTGTTTTTTTAAAAATATATCTTTATTGATTTCAGAGAGAGGAAGGGAGAGGGGGAGAGAGAGAGAGAAACATCAATGATGACAGAGTCGTCACTGATCGGCTGCCTCCTGCATGCCCCCAACCGAGGATCGAGCCTGCAACCCGGGCGTGTGTCCTGACCGGGAATCAAACAGCCATCTCCTGGATCCTAGGTCAATGCTTAATGGCTGAACCACGCCCGGTCGGGCGTAGATTATATTTTTATCACCATTTTACAGATAAGGAAACTGAGAGTTGGAGGTTCAGTGACTTGGCTAAAGTCTCTGCTTAGTGTGTTGTAGGGAGTGGATGTGAATCTCAGTTGGTCTGACCCCAAAGCCTGTGGAACTCCACAGCTCTTGCACCTACAGAGCCATGGGTCGCAATGATTGTTAACTCTTTGAGGGCATCACAGATGACCCTGAGAATATAATAGAAGCTGCAGCCATGGTCTTTCTGTCCAAAGGAATTCACATATTCTTGGTCCTCAGGTTAGGAGCTCCTTATCTTTGATAGCCTCAGAAGCAGCACCCATGCGAGACTGCCACACACCAAACTGTGCCTTTGGCACCTAGGACCAGCCAAATATACCCAATCATGCTGTTTGTCAGACCCTCCTCCACACAAAGGGAAAAGAGAGTGGTGACATGACCTGTTGAATGGGGCTCATGTTTTCATTGAGGGTCAACAGCAACAACAAATGTAGGTTCACAAATGACCTCTGACCCGAGGTAGCTTGTTTATTAGGTGCCTTAAGGAGCTTGTGAAACTAACATAGGTTTGGCCAACAAAGGACAGCACAGAGGGGATTGAGAGGGGCTCAGGTATACAGCGGGGAGCAGGTATGAGGGAAGGAGCGTGGATTTGGATCATGGAAATGTGGGCTCCACCCCAGTCCTGCCCACTGATTCCCTGAGTGTTCTCCACCTGCTACTGCATCTTGCCGCAGTTTCCTCCTTAGAGCATGAAGGAATTGAATTGGATTAGGTCAACCTCAGGGCCCCTCTGTGTCTGTGAAAAGTACGGGGGCTGTGGAAGATGAACTAACAACCAACGACTAGCTGCACGCCAGGCCCTTTCTGCATGTGGTCTAAACTACCTCTCTTGCGATGTCTCCAAGGCTTGTGCCACGATTCCCATTCTACACATGATGTCAAGTAGATGAAGAATCACTATCTGATGCTAAGTTTCCAACTCAGGGTTGGATTAGTCAGAGGTGGCAGGTCTCTGTAATATGGGGGAGGGGACAGGCAGATTTATGGTGGGGACTATATGGAACCAATAGAGAGAAAGATGAAATCCCAAAACTGCTTCAAAGAACTGATGTTTCTCCGGTGTTTTTCTTTTCAATGCCAACAGGCCACTTTCCAAACAAAGCTATGCCCTCTGCAGGGACGCTTCCCTGGGTCCAGGGGATCATCTGCAACGCCAATAACCCGTGTTTCCGTTACCCGACTCCTGGTGAGGCTCCTGGGGTTGTTGGAAACTTTAACAAATCCATGTAAGTACTGGGACAGGTTTTCTTCCCCAAATGTGCCCATTCATTCTTTTCCTCCCCTTTTAAGCCTACGGAGAATTTTGAATGGTTGGATTTGAGCGAAGTTGCTTTCGTAAAGTTTTGTGTGATGAAGTCCGTAGGGTGAGGGCAGGGAGAATTGCTGCCAGGTTTAAGAATGTGCAGCTAAAAGTCATGTGGCTGGGGGCGGGGTGGGGCTTTCCTCCAAAACCTGGCTGATAAGTTGGGAAGCGAAGACAAGGAGTGTGCTGGCTTCCACGGGGAGGCCTCTGCTCTTTGTGTTGGTTCGCTCGCTCATTTAGCAGACATGCACTGTGCACCCGAGCTGCCTGGCCTGGGAGCTAGGTTTTATTCTGATTTTAAAAGAAATAAAAAACTTTTCTGTGGACTCTCAAGAGTATCCTGAGCCCTAAGTACTCTGTCTGTCTACTGTGTCTCATAGATACATTGGCCCTGGGGGAGTGTGTGTGTGTGG